CATGGAGCCTGCTTCTCCCTCTTCCTGTGTCTCTGCCTCTCTCTCTCTCTCTCTCTCTCTCTCTCTCTCTATCATAAATAAATAAAAATTAAAAAAAAAAAGACAAAACAGAGACAGAGAGAAGGAACATAAACAGACAGGTAACCAGAACAGAGCAATACATTATATCCTGAGTGTAGTTGGGTCAGTTTGTTAGAAGAAACTACATCTTGAAATTGTAAGGAAAGAAAAACATATATTTATGAGAATGAAATTAAATACATTGGAAAGATAGAATGTAATTGTAAAGACAAAAATTTAAAAAGATTTTAACAAAACAAAAACAAAAAAAAAAAAGAAGAAACAAACAAACAAAGAAGCAAATATGATCAGACGGGTGAAGAGAATAGAGCCATACATTAGATCCTGGGTATGTTTTGGTCCCTTAGAAGAAACTGCCTCCCAGAGTTACCAAGAGAGAAAAACTTATACAAGATAAAATTAAATACGATGAAAAGGTAAATGTAATTGTAAAAATGAAAATTTACAAAGATTTTTTAAAAAGTTGATAAAATAAATTGGTTGAAATAGGAAAGAGACAAAAATTAAAAATGAAAGATTAAATTAAAGAATTGTGGTGAAAACCCCCACAAATTCCACATGCTGTATCCCCCTAGCGCTGGAGTTTTGCAGTTTCCGTGATAGGCCAGCGTGGTCTTGGCTGCGTGGCCCTGCTAAGCCGGGGAGGGCCCAGCTGCCCGGATTCTCAGGCGTCTTTGCCCGGCTGGCATGGCTGCCCCCCCAGGGGCAGGCTAACCTGTCTGCTCCCACTGCTCCATGTGGCTTTTGTCCCGAAGCTCGGATCCCCCTCCTCAATGCCCTCAGGGGAAAGCAGTCCATCTCTCCCGTCTCCCTGGTCCCCCCAGCCTGTGACCCAGCATTTCTATCTCAGGCTCGCCACCCTGCCTTAGGTCCCCAAGCCCTGCAGACTCCTGCGGTACCCGCCCCCAGGTTGCTCCCCCTGGGGGGGGACAGGAGGGAAGCTGAGGTCCTGCGGCTTGCTGGGCCCACAGCGACGCCGACTGTGCCCGTCGGTGGTTCGTGGAGACCCCGATCGAGAACCCCGGCCTGGGCCCGCTCACGGCGCCAGCCTCCCCGCTCTGAGGCTGGGAACCCTGCCGCACTCGGGCACCCGTCTCCTGTGACCCCGGGGACCCTGACACCACCTGTCCCCCCAGGACTCTGCCCCCGCTTAGCCACCTGAGCCCCTTCCAGGCGGGGAGGTCTCTCACCTGAGCGCTTCTGAAAGCTGGGACGTGGCGCTCCGGGGCTCCCCAAGCCCTGGGCCGCAGCCGGGGCTCCCCCCCATGGCCTTTCTGGGGTTCACTTCACACGCCTCCTACCTTGCAGAAAGTGGTGGTTTTCTGTGTGCAGAGTTGTAGCCATACTTCCGTGGATCTCCAGTTGAGCTGGCAGGTGTCCGGAATGATTTCGAGGTTACCTACCGAGCCCCTGGGACCGGGCAGAGAGGGCCCAGGATGGCAGCGGGGTAGGCCCTCTCTGGGTTCTTGTCTTTCTCTCTTTCTTTTTTTTTTTATTTTTTTTATTTATTTATGATAGTCACAGAGAGAGAGAGGCAGAGACATAGGCAGAGGGAGAAGCAGGCTCCATGCACCGGGAGCCCAACGTGGGATTCGATCCCGGGTCTCCAGGATCGCGCCCTGGGCCTAAGGCAGGCGCCAAACCGCTGCGCCACCCAGGGATCCCTCTTTCTCTCTTTCTAATCCTAAACTGCAGTGTCTTGTCTTGGGCTGGAAACGTTCTACTTCATTCCCATTATTACTTCAACTTCCGTGGGTAAAATAAGCTTACCCTCCCCACCCCTGAAGTCTGAGTTTGGCGCACCTCCTCTGTGCTCGCCGCGCACCCCCTTCTGCCCCGTTGAGGTGACTGCCCGTGCAGGCTTGCCCAGCCCAGGCCCACCGGAATCACTGATGGCATCGCCTGCTTTCCACCTGGGCCCCTGGGTCACACGCTGTCTACGTGGGGTCGAGCTGCAACCGCCTGTGCTAGTTGTACCTCCCACTGGAGGACGAGCTCTGACACTTAGCAGGAAGTTCATGACTTCGTTGAGTGAATGAAGTGTAGAGTAAGATCAGGAGTCTTCCTTCCTGCAGGGAACCTGGACTAGAACCGGCCATCAACCCTCAACGGGCTTCCTTGTCTCCAGGGAAGGGGCCAACTCTCCGCCAGCCCGTCGGGGTTGTCAACCGTGTCAACTGCTGCAGCTTCAGTCAGCCCGTGACTAAGTCCTCCGTTGGACCAAGGAGAGGTGCTGGTGATGCTGGTGTGGGGTGGACCGTATGGCTACATCTCCCTCTTGTGGCTGCTTCTTGGAACGCGTCCCCAAAGCCTTTCTGGTTACACACGCTGTAGGTTGGTGGTTCTGAACATGTCAACCCAGATTTTGTTTGGGTCAGAGGTAGGCTTTGGACATCGAACTTTTTAATTTTTTAAAAAATATTTTATTTATTTATTCATGAGAGACACAGAGAGAGAGACAGAGACACAGGCAGAGGGAGAAGTAGGCTTCATGCAGGGAGCCCGATGCGGGACTCGATCCCGGGACCCCCAGGGTCACACCCTGAGCCGAAGGCAGCCGCTGGACCACTGAGCCCCCAGGGGCCTTGCATCAGTACGGTTTTCAGGGCTCCCCAGGCAACTCTAATATTTATGTCACCTTGGGAATATTGGCAGGTGCGGACCGGTGCTGCTCTCTTCCCTGGGGGAGGCTGGCTCCCCACTTTGGTGACTGGAGGCCGCAGAGCGAACCTGGCCCACACCCTAGGAAAGGGACCGCGTCACAGCTCACCCAGCCCAGTGGGCCACCTCAGTGTTCGACGGCTGCGGAGCCCCGAGGCTGCCCAACGTGTCCTGCCGGCTGCTATGTTAGGAACCCTCCAGGTAACACAAGCCAGAGGCCAGATTCCTTGATGGATTCTCCAAAGTTTATTTATTTCCAGGAGGTAGAAGCAAAAACTCAGGAAGAGACGTAACTTACTGCGATGAGCGGTTCCTCAGCCCGTCTGTCTGTCCGGCCAGCACCAAGCATCCTAAAGAGGCCTGGGACGATACCGCGCTGTGCTCCCGGAGCACCAGCCCCTTAAAACCAGGAGTGGCCTGTTCCTCTTGGGTTCTCCTGAATTCACACATCTCAGTCAGAAGAAAATATTAGAAAAGAAACACGGGGAAACGGGGCTCTAAAGTCTAGATTTCCCTTTCTAGACCCGAGGAGGGGAAGGCTGTACGCCACGGGCCGCGCCCTCGGGAAAGGGAGGGAGCCCAGGGCCCCCAGCCTGCCGGGCGAACACGACGTCAGGTGTCACTCGAGGGGCACCTGAGAGTCCTCCAGTCGCAGCCACCCTCCTCAGTGGGGTCTGGAGCCCAGGCCAGGGAGCGCTCAGCGGGGGCATCTTCTTTCCCTTGTTGTCTCCATCGCTTCACTGGGGAGAACTGGGCTGCAGGAGAACCCCGGGGGCCGGAACCGACCTGCTGGAACAATCCGGGTGGCCTCGGGGACGTAGGGGACGAGTGCTCCTAACCGCAGGCTCACAAATCCTTCGTGGCAGCTGCCTCAGATTTTGAGAACAGACTGCTAATGAGCCTGCGGTCCTAGGTCCTACGGGGGTGGCAGGGTCAACCTCTTTTAAAACTTTAATCTGCTCAGCATCCAGCCTCTAATCCCACCTGCTTGTGTTTGCAGAGTTCCCCAGGTCCTAGGCCGTGGGGCGCAGCCCCCACCGTGCGAGTGGGACGAGTGGGACGGGTCAGCTCCCAGCTCCCAGCCCCCTCCGGAGCAGAACGGGGTCACTTGACCCGCACCCGGCCCCTCAGCCCCAGACTCTGAATTGGAAACCACAAAGGCAGGCAGAGGGGATGCTGGAGAGGTCACTCGGGTGCCGGCGGTGCAGGAGCAGCCTCGAGGCCCCGAGGCCCGCGGAGGCGGGGAGGCCCGGGGGGCCCAGGAGGGCCGCTGGTGCCCACATCCTGGGGCACGAGATGGGTGCCCTGGTCGCAAGGCTGGGAGCCTGCCGGTGGCTTCTGAAGCCGCGGCCACTAAAGTCGCACCGGACCCCATTCAACCAATCAAAGTGCTTAAACAGAAGCGAGTGGGCCTGAGAGCAGAAAATAAGAATATAGGGCTTTACTTATTAAAAAAAAAAAAAAAAAAGTCATTCTGTCTGCAGTCTGCAATTTAAGTAATTAAGCATTCAATTATTTGGAGCAGTTGGGTTACAGTAGGTTCATTTTCTACTTGAGGATAAATTTAGTGCGAGAAGGGGAGTGCCTGGTGCTGGGTAAAGACCCAGAGGATGTGAGGCCTTGGTGTAAACGGGCTCAGAACACGGTGACAGGGTCTCAGCTGAGACTCCCCTGTGCTGTTCAACAGAGGAACCAGAGAAGTAGGGATTTAAAGATCATTTTGAGATGTGCTGGGGGGGCTCGGTGGTGGAGCATCGCCTTCGGCTCAGGTCATGACCCCGGGGTCCCGGGATCGAGTCCCGAATCAGGATCCCTGCATGGAGCCTGCTTCTCCTTCTGCCTGGGTCTCTGCCTCTCTTTCTGTGTCTCTCAGGAATAAATACATAAAATCTTAAAACAAAATAAATAAAAAACAAAGACCATTTTGAGAAGTGAACAATCAGCCTGGGACAAGTTCTGATTATCCGAGTTCCTCTGTAACAGCGTCATCGAACACTTGTCACCTTCCTTTAAACCTAATGCCATCTGCACTGAATAGTTTTAAGTATCCTTAAATACTTAAATATTATACATATAGGTACATGTATGTTATATAATATTAAACTTAACTATTCTATAAGTTTTTTAAGCATCCTAGGTGATTTTCTTTCCACGATTCAAAGCTCAGAGACCTCACAGTCTTGTCAGTTTATTGACCTTTCAGCTTCTGGTTTTGCAAATAATATACTGACTCTATTAGCTTCTTTCATAGAATAATCTCAGAGTGTTCTACATAGAGTAAGGAGTTCATCACCCTTCAGTGTCCATCCAGAGAGAGAAAGTGAGGCGCACAGCCTTGATTGGTCTGTGCAGATCAGGTCCGCGTGGTGCGGGGTCAGCTCATAGGGCCGAGGCAGCTCACAGGAGGCACGAGGCAAGAGTTCCCAGATCCTGGGGCTGGTGGCCAGCCTGGGAGCGAGGCACTAGGTATCCCAGCTTTGTCCTTCGGCTCTCACGGTCCAGGCCCAGCAAGGAGCACCACGTGGAGGCCTGGGCTCCCAGGACCCACATCACTCGTTTCCAGCTACACCACAGAGCTGGAAAGCTACACCAATGGTCCTGTCCCCGGGCTGGGCCCCAGGAGCAGGCCGCGTGGCTCGAAGTCCCCAGTTTTTGTCCATCCCACAGGTGGCTGTGCAGGGAGCATCACCAGGGAGTTGATCCGAGAGGAGTACAGATGTGCAGAGTGTCATGGGGGGCTTGGGACCTGGAGCTAAGTTCGGGGTCCACGGTGCCCCCTCCATATTTCTTCAGAAAGTCCCTTCACTGAGCCTGTGGTGTCAGCTTTCTGGGAACGTCACGCTGGCGTAGACTGTGATAGAATGTGGTTCCTGGGGGCAAGAGACAGGACGTCTGAGGAGAGGCACCAGCACAGGCTACAAATGGACACCGCGCTGCTTAGGAAGAGGAGTCTCCAGGTGGCGCGGTGGCCTGGGCGGGGCCCGCACTCAGGTCCCCACACTGCCAGCACCCCCCCCCCAGGCTCCAAAGCCCCAGTTCACTCACGCCCCACCATCGGGGAGACTGGGAGCTGTGTCTCCTGGCTCCCGGCCTCCCCTTGCCATTTGCTTTGGTGCTGAGCATGGAGCAGGGAAGCCAAGAGATTGCTAACGTATGAGCTTTAGAAAGGGATGGTGAGACCCAAAGAGAGAAGGATAGATTGCGGGGGTGGGGTGGGGGTACGATGGGGCTGTGGGCAAAGACATCTTCAAGGTAGAGGGATTCAAGAGGCAGAGAAAGACAGGAATGGAGGAATTCAGGAAGTTTGGCTGTAAAATGTGAAACAGACTATTTTTGATGAAGAAAACATCCCTAAAAATCTGCATTATTGCTTAAAGCTTTTTAAAGCCAGATTCATGTGTTTAATTCCCCCATTGGCTGGGACACTGTTCTGAGACTAGAGCTCCAGGTGCAGACAGGGCGTCCTCTAGGTGTCTGTCTGGTAGGAACTTTGCGGCAGAGGGATAAATGCAGGCATTTCTGGGACCTTTTGATCCTCAATTATCTCATGTAATAGAACCCCACTGGACCCAAGATTTCAGCCCAGAATTTATTTCTGCCCATTTAGGAAAAGGAATAATTCCTGTCAAGTAAACTTAATCCATGCTGATCTTGCAATGGAGGTAGCTGGCAAGGCTCGATCTAGGCTGCACACCCTAGTCCCTTCCCCGCTCATGCCAGGCACACTCCCAGCCTAGACATTCTGATGAAATCGGGCTGGATGGAGCACAGGCATGAGCCTTCTCACAGAGCTTCCCTGTGATTCTGTTACACACCTTGGACTCAAGATGCAAATCCCAAATATACACTTGGTCTAGGATCCCTTGGGGAGGTTGTTTTTTAACATATAGATGCCTGGTTGCTCACCATGGACGTTCTGATTGAACAGAATCCTAGTAGAAAGCTCCAGGAATCTTTATTTTTAGCAAATATGCCAGCTGATTCTGATGTGGTTTTTGGACAGCTCTCAGAGAAACACTAGTGAGAGAGAAAGAGCTGTGTCTCCATGTGAGCAGCCAGGAAGGGTCTCCCAGAAGTCCCACAGCCAAGGCCATGGAGGATCCTGGTGATCCACTTGCTAAGGCCTGCCTCCCCCACTTCAGGACTCTTTATTTTGGCTCTAGTCATGTCTCACGGTTCCCCTCTTCCACCTCTACCCTCCCTTCAGGGAGGAGGCTCAGAGAGAAGCCTCACCTGGACAGGTTCTGGGGCAGGTTCTGGGACAGGTTCTGTGGCAGCAACATAAATGGTGGTGCAGGGGTCCTCAGCTGGCAAGGGATCAGGTTTCTTCTGAGTAGACTACAAGGCAAGCAACGAAAGCGGAAATCAGCTGAGCAGAGTTGTTTCCATCCAATTCTCCCCACGGAGAACCACAAGATCCAGAGGCTTTGAGCTAGAAAGCCCCTCAGAGTCAGCTGGTCCAGCCTCCTTCCCAGGTGGAAATGCTCCTGCAAATTCCTCCGAGTGCAATTTTCACGACTCTGCTTGAACTCCCCAAGTGGCATCATGGAGTTCGCAACCTTGTGAGGCCGCCCACTTCACTGTGAGCATTTCCAGATGTTTTGAGTCTTCCTCGTGGTGCATCAGGACTGGTGTGGCTGTCACCAGGGCAGCTGAAGGGAACTGGATCTTCATACTATTTGTCTCAGTCCTGTCACCTCCAACACACTGAGTTCATCCCACCCCACACAGCTGTTCCTGCTATTTCCTACTCGGACATGGTTTCCCGTGACTTCTCTCCCCTGCCGGAGTGCTGAACTTACTAATAAGCATATGTATCTAGGTGTGCCAGTTTACAGTGCTTCCACAGGTGCCACATTTGTCTCACATCGACTGCACACTAAATCCCATTGTTACATTTCACAGATGGAGAAGCTCAGAAAGACTTAATATTCCTATTGTACACCCAAGAAGTATCAAAGCCAGGAGTCCCACGGAGGCCTCTTGGCTTAAAGTGCATGCTCTTCCCATCATGCTATTTTTCTTTGCTTACCCCAACTTATAATGACCTCTCCTCTACTTAAATTCCCCAGATTAGTCTAATTCATACGTGATTGCACTTAACTGTATGATATTTAAAACCCTCTGATATATTTACATGTTTTTTTTTCAAACAGACTAATTTTTCCGATATTTCTTCGCATTCCCCACAAATATAGCCCTGGGCATTTTTTTTTAATTCAGCTGATGTTACTTTAAACAGCCTACAATCTACAAGACTAGGACAAAGTCAGTGTAGGGGTGAATTGAGACCACATTCCTGTGAAATGGAGGTAACAAGACTTATGCCAGGGAAGTCATCCTTTCAACACACTTTGGGGGCACTGGGGTAGGATATTGCTACTCTCCATTTTTCCTGGATGTAGAGCAAGACTTGAAACATGTTTTCATGTGAGGAAACTCCAAATCTTGTCCTCTGATGGAGAAGGTAAGGAGTTGAAAAAGCTTACTGGAGGAAAGAAGACTCCAGGTGGGACATGATCTTTCTCTTTATATACTTGATGGATTGTCATGTAGAAAAGGAATTAGACTTGTTCTGTAGAGTCCTTCAGGTTTAAACCAAGATTGGAATTTGGGGAAAACATTTTGGTTCAATATAGTGAAGATCTTTCTAACACTAAGAGATCCTCAAATGTGGAGTGGATTGCTTTAGGAGGCAAGGGATTCCTCATTTCCAGAAGTGGCTGGGTTAGATCTGGGCTTCTCATACTTGAATGTGCATACGCATTTCCTGGGCATCTTGTTAGAAGGCCAGTTCTGTTTCAGAAAATCTGAGGTAGGACCTGAGGTTCTGCATTTCTAATAAGATCCCAGGTGATGCTAATGTTGCTTGTTCACAGACTATATTTTAGTAAAAAGGAGCCAGCCAACACTATGGAAGTAATACTGGGAAGATGACTCAAGCAGTAATTGGGTGATTCAAAGAGATGACTTTCAAGATCCCATACAACTTATAGATACTATATGTTGTAGAAAAAACGACTTTAAGGAAGGATTACTTGCAGTAATGAGATAGATGAAGAGATTGTGAAATAATTTAATTAAGAGACTTTTATCCACCCCTGCCTGTCTTCCCATCTGAGAGGACTTTGATAGGCCCTGACTTAGAAGTACAGGAGAGAAGTCAGTAACTCATGCTTTTAATGTTTAGTTAAGTTTTGGAAAGGAGAAGAAGAGTATAAAGGAAACCACCTATAGTCTTACCACTTCAGCACAACATGGTTAGCATGTTGTTAGATTTCCCATCAGGGCTTTAACCTGGATTTAGAGAATTCTTTTAAATATAGTTGTAATAACTTGGTGCATTTTTGTATCTTGGTGTCTTCAGTTAGGGCATGAGTCCAGGGAACATGATTTACAAGAAACTCCAGGGGTATTATTCTCACATATTCTTTGGGAGTGGTGTTCCCCAGAGTTATACAAGGGAGCACTCCTGATAAGACCTACAAGGATTCCCTCGCAGATAGCAAGTGTGTGTTGCATAATTTTCCCTGTTACTCTAATCTTTATAACACTATCATTCGACTGTTACAAATAAGAACAAAGGAAATGTTAACATTTAATCATTGTCCGCATTGTTAGCCTTTATATGATCTCATATAGCACTATCTCATATAGAACTGCAAATATGAACAAAGAAAATTATAAAAATGTAAGTGTAAATGCGTATTGATGTGTAAAACAAAAATAACCATGTCTCCTATGTTTAAACATACATGAAATTACAATAAAGGCCAAAAAAGACACTTAAATCAGAAGGTGAAGTTAAAGGGAAGATGAAGTATTGTGTAGGAAGAGAATAAATATTAGACTTTGGTGAGTCAAGGAGGCATTTTATAATTTCTAGGTTAGCAACTAAAAAAAGGGGGTAAAGTTTGCTTAATTATGAAAAGGGAGGAGAATGGAATAATAAATATATAATTTAAAAGACTCCTCCCTCAGAGGAACCCCTGACTCAGGTAGCTTCACCCATGAATCCTACCAAATATTTAAGGGAGAAATAACATTAATCCTGCCCAAAGGAAATATACCCTGTAGTGGATTGAACTGTGATCCCCAAAAGACAGATCCATCCAGAATCTCTAAACGTGACCTTCTTTGGAAGAGGGTCTTTGCAGATGTAATTAAGGTAAGGATTTCAAACTCAGGTCAAGCTGGATTAAATCCAGTGATGAGTGTCCTTTTAAGAGATGGGAAAGGAGGCCCAGAGACGCAGAGAGAAGAAATGTACGTGGAGGTGGAGGCAGAAATTGGACTTCTGTAGCTACAAGCCAATTAATGCCAAAGAGTGTCCAGAGCCACCAGAAGCTGGAAGAGGTAAAGCAATATTTTCAAAGGGATCGTGGCCCTGCCTATACCTTCATCTTGGACTTCTGGCCTCTACAACTGCTAGAGAATAGCTTTGAAGTTTTAAATCTCCAGGTCGGCAGACATTTGTTATGCTGGCCCCAGGAAACAAATTTGCACTCCTACTGATTTTGTGAGGTTAGCATAATCTTGGTATCAAAACCTCACCCAAGCATTACAAGAAAGGAAAATTGTAGGCTAATTCCACTTGAAAACCTAAACAGAACAGCGTCCTCTCAATAAAATATTAATAAAATAAAACCAGGCAATATTTTAAAAGGGCCAGACTTCATTGCTTCTATTCCAGGAATGCAAATGTAATGTAGTTTTTGCAGATCAGTGTGGTTCAGCAGATAAATAATAATTTAAAAAATAATATAAAAAATCCGTAAGATCATATCAATAGATGCAGATAAAAATGTTGATAAAATTCAATGTCAATTCCATAGCGAATCAGGAATAGAAGAGAATGTTCTCAATCAGATGAAAAGGTAGCTCCAAAAACCTTCAACAAAAATCATATTTAATGGTCAGATGTTGACCGTTTCCCTTTTGAGTTTGGAACCATCCAACGATGCCTCTTCTAACACTTCCATTCAACACTGGGAAGAGTGTCTCAGCCAGTAAAACAGGGAAGAGAAGTGATGTGATTTGAAAATGAAGAAATATACTGCAATTTTTTTTACAGATAATACAATTATGGGCAGAGAAATTCCAAGTCATATATAGATAAATGACTAAAATTTATAACTGAGTTTAGCAATGCCGCAAATATAAGGTTAAAATACAAAAAAGTAATTATATTTCTATGTATCAATAGTATATTAGAAACCAAAAATTTTTTTTAAAAGATAATGTTGATGATAGTATTCCAAAACCTCAAATGCTCAAATGCCAAGTCATAAATTATGACGGGCAAGTCCTTTTATGCGAAAAACTGTAAAACATCATTTAGAAAAACCAAAGAAGACCCACATGAAGGAAAGGATGTATTATTTTGTGAATGAAAAGACCCAATACTATTAGTATGTATGGTCTTCTCAAAGTGGTCTGTGCAGTTCTGATTAAAATCCCAGCAGGATTTTTAGGTAGAACTTGACAAACTGAGTCTAAAATATATATGAAAATGCAAATGACTAAAATGGCCAAGACCTCTTGAAGAATGAGAACAAGTGAGAAGACATTTCACCAGATATCAAATTTATTATGAATCTGTAATCTATAATGAATTCGTAAAGACTGTATGGTGCTGGCACAAGCATAAACAAACAGGCAAAGGGAGCAGAATAGAGAACCAAAAAATGGGTCCTGACGCACATGGACCCTTGGCTTGTGAAGGTGGAACTGCCAGGGACAAGGGCCATCTTTCCAGTATGTGGTCGATAGAACCCACTCTGGAGAAAAACAAAACCTGTTCTGTCTCACACCATGCTCCAAAAATCATCTTCAGATAAGTAACAGATATAAATGTGAAAGATGAACCACACAGCTTTTAGAAAATGATAGAATATCATCATTGCCCGGGGGTAGAGAAAGATTTCTCAAACAGGACACAAAAAGCATTATCTATAAAGGAAGAGATTGTTGAATTGCTCTACACTGCAGTTAAGGACCTTTCTTTAGCAGAAGGTGTCACCGAGAAATTACGAAGGCAAACCACAGAATGGGTGAGCGCATTTGCTAAAATGTAACTGCCAAATAATAATTTTTAAAAGTTTTAATTAAACAATAAAATAAAATGTAACTGTAAAAAAGCTCAAAATATTTAAAGAACTTGTACTAATCATTTTAAAAATCCTGAAATTCAAAGGAAAATGGGCAAGAGATTGAACAGGCACTTTAAGAAATGGTATTACTATCACCAATAAATATTAGCATTGTCCAACCTCCTTAATAATTAGGGAACTATAAAAACTATAAAAACTATAAAACTATAAAAAGAAACATCCAATAGAATAACTAAAATTAAAAAGGCTGATAACACCTAGTGTGGATTAGAATGTGTAGCTGGCCTAAAAGTTAATTGGTGCGCTTACTTCGGAAAGCAGTTTGCTTCATCTAGCCAATTTGAGGATATGCATACCGTATGATTCAGCAATTCTACTTCTAGGTACATACCCAACAAAAATGTGTGCATGTATCTACCAAGAGACACACATGTGAATGTTCACAGTTGGAATTTTTATAAGAGTCTCAAACTGGAAATAACCCAAATGTCCCTCAATAGTCAACCAGATAAACTCCAGTATATTCAGGGACGCCTGGGTGGCTCAGCAGTTGAGCGTCTGCCTTCAGCCCAGGGCGTGATCCCGGGGTCCTGGGATCGAGTCCTGCATCAAGCTCTCAGCATGGGGCCTGCTTCTCTCTCTGCCTATGCCTCTGCCTCTCTCTATATATCTCTCATGAATAAATAAATAAAATATTTTTTAAAACTCTAGTACATTCATACACTGATATTCTATAAAGCAATGAAAGCGAATGCATTATATCAAGCACAAAGCCATATGAATCTCATGAAAGTAATATTGAGGGGAAAAAAACAGACCCAAGGGGGAAAATACTGTAGAATTCCATTTTTATAAAGATAAAGAAAGAGAGAGCTAAAGTATGTTTTTAGATGTTAGGGTGGTGATATCTTTGGTGAGGAGAGAGAGAATAGAGATGAAGGGGTGGGCACAAGGCGGGCTTGTGGGGGTTGCTGGCAATATTCTGTTCCTTGATCTGGGTGGTGGTTATGCTGTATTAGAGCATTCGATACTGAAAGATGTAATTTCTCCTCAAACAGGTCTGTAGATTCAATGCAATCCTAATAGGACTTTTCCCCTTTTCTGGTACTTGAGAAACTGATTCTGAAATGTATACAAAAGTACAAAGGGACAAGAATAGGGAAACCCGTTGGAGAAAAACAAGGCGGGAAGATTTGCTTTACTAGATAACACGATGGGGTAACTCACTGAGCTGACATTTATACTCTGTGCCCTTCTGGTATATATGTCATACTTTACAGTAAAAAGAGGGATGCTAGCAGCACCAGATAGGGAAGGCACTCTGCTAAAGTTGAAACTGGTTACTAAATGTGTAAATGCAGGGGTGGATGTTAGTCTTGGGACTCTCCTACATTTAAATAAATGAAGGGTGGTCCTCAGCCGTGGTGATGATCTGTGTATTAAAGGCCCCAGGCCAGTAGGCGGCAGCAGAAAGAAGAGCTTTGTCCTAGAGTTCATCTCTGGTGACCAGAAAGGCCTTTATTGTCATCTGATGCAATTTTCCAAGGTGCTAATCAAAGCTACCTTTACCCTCATGCCCTTTACTCTAGAGTTTGCTTCCTCTGGCCGGCCAGATTCTGGCCTGTGCATCACCTAGAGCTGCCTTCACGTCCGCAGAACTAGACTATCTTCCCATCTAACCCTATTCCTTTAGCCTCCCTCTTACTCCTAACATATATGCTCCTCGACTTCGTCATGACTAGTTCTTCATTCCTCTCTTCTGGCTCAGTACAACCACCCTCCCTCCATCAAGTTTCACTTTCTTTCATCTCCAGCCTCCATATCACCTCCCATCTCTCCAACCAAAATCCTCAAGATCCCTCTTCCCTGTCTCCACGGCACTTTGCACACTCCTACACTTGGATCAGCTCAACACGCCATACAACAACCCTTCTGAACCCTCCCTCTGTCTGCAAGCCTGTGCCCTTGTCCCTAGAGAGGGGAGAGTTTGGTAATGGAACCATAGACACCTGGAATGCCAGGGCTGGAGGAGTCATGGGTCTTGTGTTTCTCACTTCTTCATTTTTCCCTTATGAAGACACAGATGACCAGAAGATCATCCAGTGTTTTCCATTATTTCTTTTTTTTTTAAGATTTTTAAAAGATTTCATTTATCTATTCATGAGAGACACAGAAAGAAGGCAAAGACACAGACAGAGGGAGAAGCAGGCTCCATGCAGGGAGCCCGATGTGGGACTCGATCCCAGGACCCGGGGATCATGACCTGAGCCGAAGGCAGATGCTCAACCGCTGAGCCACCCAGGCATCCCATGGTTTCCATTATTTCAAATAATAAATAATCCCATCTGACACTGAAGTTGTTCTTGACTTCCGCCTCCCTAATTTCCTCTGCTCCAGAACCCATGTAGAACCATGAGTGTCAGACACACAAGGTGGACTGGCCAGGAATCCCTCAGGAAACATGACAGGTCCACCCTAGACAAAGAAAGTATAGAACTTACACCTGATTTCTGGACTTGGGCATAGATGGTAAGGCTTTTTTCTTCCTTTGTTGGCTTGTAATGATTTGTTTTACCTGGGGAAAAGAAATCACAGTGGTTATCTCTCTCCAGCCCACGCACAAACTTTGCTAGGATTTGTCGGGTCTTTACCCCCCACCGCATAGCCATCTTCCCCAGGGGTCCCAAAGGAACAAACACCAAGTCCCAACCCCCACCCCGCACATGTGTCACATGGCCTTAGGTTGGTTACTTGATCTCTCTATTTCTCCATCTGTGAAATGGGACTGAAGTATCTGCCTCACAGGGCCGTTGTGATGATCATATGAGATACTATTGTAAAGTGTTTAGATGCCTGGCAGCCTGATTTAGGCCCAGGATGTGTTACATGTAACTGGAATGCCGTTCAATTATTTTAATCTCTATTGTTTAATGTGCATATCTGGTCTCCTAATAGGATTGTAAGTTCTCCGAGGACAGGGCTCATTACCCTTTTGTACTCTCCCGCTTGTTGCATGGTGCTTCACTCTGTTTCTGGGGCACTTTACGTGTGCATAGGGGAAGAGATGTAAGATGGAAGGCCCCCTGGGACTGATTGGAAAATAAAGTAACAGTGTCATTCTGACACCCACCATCCGGAAACTTTGCTCAGAGCCCAGGGTCTCTGGAATTTAACATGTTGCAGAACTTTTTAACGTGCAACCAGTTTTTAATCTTTTTCTTTTTAAATTATAGAACTAATCCATTCTCGTTACAAAAATTAAAATTATATAAGGTAAAAAAAAAAAGTGTGTCCCTCCTTCCCCCATTAACCAACGCAATTTCATTCCCAGAAGCAATCACTTTTAAGTTTGATGAATATTCATCCAGACTAGCTCTGTGCAGTTATCTCTGCAGTCTGATGTGTTAGCCACAAGCCACGGGTGGCTCTTGAGCACTTACCTGAACTATGGCTAATGCAACTGAGGAACTGAATTTTAAATTGCATTTAATTCCAACTAATGTAAGCTGAAGCAGCCACACATGATGAGTGACTATCACATTAGACACTGCAGTTCGGGACATTTGCTATACAGATTTTTTTCTTTTTTAATGCAATAGGGCCATTCTATACACCTTTCTGTGTAACTTCATCTTTTCACTTATGTGTGTTGAGCACATATTCCATGCTGGTGCAGTAGACCTATCTCACTCTTTCTAATGTTTCCTGCTATTCTTTACACGCATCACGCAACAGTGAGAAGGATGGAGTGAGAGTGCCTGACAAACATGGAGCTAATTTGGGGACTACTGCAAAGTCCAGGTACAGGCAGTGGATGCTTGGCCCAGAGGAAACCACACATAAGTCTTCAGGGTGGACTTATTTTAACACCAATAAATTTATCCTCTTAAAAAAAAAAACTAGGAGCATGTTTCTGAGGCAAAAGCACCTAGGAGAAATATGTTTTTATTTGGAAGAGAAAGACCAAGGATGTATATATGTGGTGAAGATGCTAGGATGTGCTGCATGAGGGTATGATCCTTGGGGGGAAATGATGGGCAGCCATTGGGGAAACTCAAAGAATTAAAGAATGTCCATGTATGATATTTCTGTGTGGGGGTGTGCATGGAGGGCCTGGTGGGCCCAGGATTTACTTTTTTTCTTTTTTTTTGTCCAGGATTGACACTGGCTACAAAGTGTGCATGTGTGCGTGTGTGCGTATACGTGCACGTGTAGAACAGAGGATAGAGGTCAGGGTGACGGGGGAAATAACAGGGAGGGTGCAGCTTAGGTCTGTGAAATATAGCCTCTCAGTTCAAATCCAAAGGTGTTTGCAAAGTTAGTCATGCCCGCCCTGCACTGTCCTCAGGCAGTAAGGAAATGAGTGGAGAACAGAGCAGTTCTCAGGGACTGCGACTTTCAGGTCAGCTGAGGCTGGACAGTCGTAAATGCTCAGACAGGAGGAGTGAGGCTGAATGTTGCTGCCTAGAAAACCACTGGATCAAGGTTGTCCAGTCATGTATTTTCCTTCCCGGTGCCAGAGCAGGTTTCAGGAGTTAGCTCAAATCGGCTCAAAGTCGTGAGGACCTAGGGCTGAACGAGAAAGGTCGTGGCCTTCGCAGTAGGGGGTCTGTATCCTGGCCCTCAATGGCGTTGGACAAAACCTGTCATCCAAATGGGCCTCTTTTACCTTAGCTGAAAAATGAAGTTGTGGACTGTGTAACGTCCTTTCCAACTGTTTCCTGAAGCACAAAGTTGTCCTTTGTTATCAGGACTTCATGTACTTAAATCTGCTCTGAGGACTATTCCCAGATGCTTCTAGTGCCTTCCCCTGTTGGCCATACGACTTAAACATTGAGGTTTTAATTCACTCCATTAAAAGATTTGTCTATGGGAATCCCTGGGTGGCTCAGTGGTTTAGCGCCTGCCTTCAGCCCAGGGAGTAATCCTGGGGTCTCGGGATTGAGTCCCACATCGGGCTCCCTGCATGGAACCTCCTCCCTCTGCCTGTGTCTCTGCCTCTCTCTGTCTCTCATGAGGAAATAAAAAAAAATTTTTTTAAAGATTTGTCTATGTGTGTACATATGTATCCATCCATCCATCCATCCATCATGCATCGGTCCGTGATCCATCGTCTATCCATGGACGCCGCTGGACTTGGTAGTCGCTGTGTATGACTCACGGATCCCCACAACAATACCGTGCAGTACATAATATCATCCGGTTTTGCAGGGAAGAGCTCACTTAGTCACAGAGCTTGTCAGTGGCAAAGTCTGCATTTGAATGTAAGTGTGTCTGAGGCCAAATCCCATATTTTTAACCAGTGTTTTCTGAATATGAAATTGCCAGAGAAACCATTTGAAAACCTTCAGAGCCAGGCAGCTTCTTGGAGGTGACAGCATCACAAGGTGCCAAAAGAATCTCTTGAGCAAAGTCTTGCAGAGGGTGTAACAATTAATATAGGTTTTCCCACAGATTTGAGGCAAGGCTTTCAAGTTCCTGGCTTACAAGTAATACAGGGTGGCTGGAGACGAGGATGGATATCAGCTGGGGAGGGTGACAGGGACTTGTTCCCTTCGGAGGGAGATGAGGGGCATTATTCCCTTCAGAGCACAACCACGCGATGAGCAGAATGTAGTTGAGGAAAGCATGTGAGTTAGGATCCTGGCACCCCCTCTGGCTAGGTTAGCATGGCTGCATTAATCTCCATTTTCTTAACCCTGGTATCTCACTCTTTCCCTATTATCTAAGCCAAATGTGGGTGCCTTGCCCCATCCCCTTAGGCTCTCATCACAGTTTCTGTCTGAATCACCCTACCCCCACCCTCCCCAGCTAACTCTCAGTTGGAGGAAATGAGATAAAAGTAGGTGGCTGTGCTGTGATCTAGACTTTCTGATACCAGCAAAGCCAGCACAGAGTGCTGTGGTAAGGGCTTTTTCAAGAAGGTTACACGTGAGAATGCTGATCTACTTGAGAATAAGATCAGCTATCACCTTGGTGTGTGAGGATCAAATCCTGTCCCCACAGGGACCTGGCCTGGTCTGGGGGCAGGACCTTCTGACTTTGGGGTGGGTAGGTGACAAAAGTGTGGCCAGGCGCCCTGCCCTGTGATGTGGAATCAGGGGACCCCTTGGAGGGGTGGTCAGGAGACACATCCTCTAGGCACTTAAACTGCAAAGGGGTAACTGGGCCTTACCAGGTACCCTGGGTGATCTTCCACATTGTTTAGTTTGGCCTTAAGCAACCTCACAAATTGCACAGTTTCCTAAGATGAGTCAGAATTTGTACAAAAATCTTAGTAAAGAGCATTCCCTGTGGGTCTTCCCAACAACATGCAGGCCTTCCCAGTGGCACGTGGCCTGGTTGTTGGGAGACATAGTTACAGTTCTGGTTCTCTCATTAGCTGGCTGGGTGACCTTGCACGAATCACATGGCTTCTCTATGCCTCCATTACCCTGCTGCTACGTCACGAAGAAACAACTCACTCACTGTTCTCAGAGGGATATCGCAAGAATAAAAAGAAATTGTAGAAAGGTTTCAACCCTTGGATGACAATATCTTATTATAACGCCCTTTTATTCGTCTGTAATTGTAACTTTTCTTGAATGAGATCCAAGAGTCCCCTGGATTGGGCATCTAGGAGCATAGTCAAGCCTCTTGTCTGGCCCCCTGCAGCATCCCCCACCCACCCCTCCCACAGGGCTAGTTATATCGAGCGTGAATGATCTGTGTAGTGTCTCCCACGTTCAACACCTATGGCTCAGCCCTCTTTCCACCCCCATGGCCTAGTAGGGATCAAGACATATTGAATTAGACTGAATTGAGGAAGGTCCCAGGGTATGTGTACTTAGTGTTATTGCAAAAGTGCTTCATGCAGAAAGCCAAAGCTGTGCAAGCAAGTCTTCGCTTGTGCGGAGAGGTTCCCTACTTACCACAGAGTCTGATATGAATCTCTTTATTGTCAGACACCTACCTCTTCTTCTCAACAGCAGTAATACCACTTCGAAAATCAAGATAACACCAACGATACCCCCTAAGAAGAGCCCAGCATACAGTCTCCATTGTCTTGGCACTGAAAAAAAAAAAGTCAAAGGGCGATCTCAACAGTACTGTGAGTTTAAAAACATCCTTCACGGAAGTGGGGAGACCAAGTCTCGTGTTCTCTCTCAGGGGACACATCCTTTCTGATGGTTTCAGACAGCAGCTTCAGACAACTGAAGATTTCCTACCTGTTCTCTTATCCTAATTTCTCTCACCATACTTGACTTTCCTCATTTCCTATAGAAATTTCCCAAGTTCCATAAAGATTTTTCTATCCAAATGCTTAATTTGTACCTTAATGATCACATATCTAAAATCAGACTCATCTTTATTTGTTCCAAGTCAATGTCTCTTGCCCGTTTCCCTAGTTTTAAATCGCCGATGAGTCCTGTATCCATTTTGGTACAAAGAACGTTCTGGTTCCACCTGCTGTCCCCACACTCCCACACCAGTCTCATGTGACACTGGGAGGAAGAATGTCCGACTTTTGTTTTTTAAAAATAAACATAATAGTGCTATTATTGTCCTCCATGCAAATAACTATATGGAACCCACTGGACCTGAACTGAAAGAAAAGCATGTACGTTTTCCTCTCAGGGATTCCAATGCTTAATACAAGTGCTAGAGAAGTAGCAAAGTCGCGGAGCCACCTTTTTTTCTTTTCTTTCTCTCCTTTAGCCACTTCACCAAATCCTTCTAAGCTGGGAGTAGTACCTTGGAAAACAGTCAGTGAGACCTAATGACCCAGCAAACAAGACATTTGGCTTACTAAGATACTAACAGACAATTAAGGAGGATCGCCGATGAGCCATTTTTAGTGCATTGTATGTGTGAATGGAATTAATCCTACAAGGTAGTTATTCTCATTAATCCCATTTTTGTACATAAGGAAGCAGGCATGGAGACCTTCAAATACTAGAGCTTGGTCTTGGGGTAGAAAAGTGGCTGATTTCTAAAGACGGACTTCTTGGAGAGTCAGAGAGGCTTATGGGCTTGGGGTGAGTTACCCCAGGGTAATGAACAGTGGGATCAACCTGAAGCACCAGGATTCTAAGTAAAATAATAACATTAAGGCTCTAAATACAGTTGACCCTTGAACAACGTGGGAGTTGGGAGAACTGACCCCCCCAACACAGTTGAAAATCCATGTATAATTTTTGATTCTCCCAGAACTTAGCTTCTAATAACCTAATGTTAGCTGAAACCTTTAAACAGCTAACACATATTTGCATGTTATATGTCTTATGTACAGTATTCTGACAATAAAGTAAGCTAGAGAAAAGAAAATGTTAAGAAAGCCACAGAAAGAGAAAATACATTTCCATTACTATACTGTGTTTGTAAAAAGAAAAAAGAAAGAAAGAAAAGAAAAAAGAAAAAACCTACATATAAATGGACCTGCCCAGTTCAAACCCATGTGTTCAAGGGTCAGCTGTAGTATAACAGCAGGTGTTAACATTAATGTGTCAGGATAGTTTATTAGGATGATTGTGGAATTAGTCTGCTTGTTGATGAACCTGGGGTGGATTTTTTTGGGAGAAGCTGAAAGGAATAGGCGGGCTACAGAGGAACAGAGTCCTTGCAGACACAATTCAGATGTTCACATAGTTGAACAAAGCTACAGACTAAAGTCAGTGAACTGATCAAAGGCATCCCACCAAATTCCAAGTGGACCTTCAGCCCTCATAGCTAACCAGAGCTTGCCTCCGGGATTTGAGAAGCTTCTTCCTTTTTCTTTTTCGGCCTCTCTACACATCAAGTCATCCCAGGGAATCTCAGTGAACCAGCCTGTGAACATCTTGATTATAGACTTCCTGCCCCAAATAAACATGCTTTAACCCTGCCAGAGACCAACATCGGCAGACTGTCATGCCATATGACCCGATCAAAAAGCCAAGGGGCCAGCAGAGAGTTTTAGTAAGACTCCTGAATTTATATCAAGTCTAAGATTTTCAGCATGGAGACACCACTGCTCTGGAGCTGTCCCCCATGCCGTCCTCCTCTGAGCAGCTCGCGGCCCCTGAGAATCCTCCTCGCAGCTGAGGCATGTGTGTGTGCGTGCACGTGTGTCTGGGACAGCACAAGAATAAGATCTGTGTTTAGAGCCTCACTCAGGGCTTATGCTGCCAACGCCAGGGATCCATGGAGAAAAATCCCAAATCTGAAGATAAGAAGCAGAGACGGTAGCCCAACACCACCATGTTCCATCAGCTCATGGAACTGACCCAGCAAATTGTTATAGTCGCTCTGACTATTTTGAGATTATTTCCTCTTTCTTCTTCCCTAACCTACACTGGGATCTTCAAAAACAACAGTTAATTTAAGAACAAATACTCCAACCATTTAAACCGTTTTAAAAGGTAATAGTTCTCTCAAATGTCACTGGAGATACAAATAAAGTAAAAAACCAACACACAAGGGGATGCCTCTAAACTAGAGTAGGAGATAACAAAACTGGACTGGTATCAACCCCAAAGTGAGCCTTTGTCCCATTTCCTGGCTCCTGCTACCAACAGCTCTGCTGCCCACCTACTCACATGAACTGAGGGTGACTGAGCCAGAGCTCAGACCAACGCCCCAGCCGTCTCCTTCTTTTCCAGGTTGTCAGGAGGATGAAAGCCATCTGCTATCCTTGTCCTATAACATAAATGTCCAGCTTCTGCTACTCTGGTCAGATCTGAGAGTCAAGCTGGCCTTTGTCCTGAGAGATATTTCAAAATCCCTAATTTTTCTCCTACTCTTTGGATACAAAGCAATATGGATCTCTTGGAGGATTTAAGTGATAGGTCCATAGAGGGAGGTTTTCAATTGCTAAAGGAGCTATGGCGCTGTCTTATCCAACTCGCTAATTTTATTCGGAGGTGTACCCAGAGTCACAGAGAAGTGGATGGCAGAGCTGGGCAGGATGGGAACTATAGACACATTTTGTGTTTTGGCCTATGATGAGGGAAAGCCCTGAGAGGTGCCCGTGCCCCCAGTGCCCTCCCTCCCACACCTGCCCATTCTTGCTCTGTGCCCCTTTCCTCCTGTGTCACCTTCAGCTACCCACCAGGCCCCCCCAGTGTTGACCCTTTGACCAATCCTACTACCTCTGTATCAGTTTCCCTGACCATTCCAGCTCCCATTCTTTTTCCTTCTCCCTGGGACTCTGCCGCACCTTGGTTTATGTCATGTATCTTAGAACCTGAGCTGCGGTATTACTGTTGCTGTAAGGACCATTTTCAGGGAGGTCATTTGGAATCAGATAAGCGGATTCAGATTCTGGACTTACTACTTGATAGATCTGCAACCTCAGATAGACTGCTCATAACTTCTGGGGCCTTGGTTTCCTTGACTGAAAATTGAGCACAACAATATTCAGTTCACAGAGTCTTTCTCAAGAGTCAAGGAAATAATTATGGAAAGTGTCCAGAGAGATGCCTGGGGCATAAATGTGGTACATAAATGCCATCTCTTTCCACTAGCCTCAACTACCCCACATAGCTGCTAGCCTCTCAGAGGCCAGAGGCCACTTCTTTACCTCTTCTGTGGCTATCTTGGGACTTGGTATACAATAAGTCTTTGGTAAATTCCTATTGATTGACTGGAAGGAGAGCAGATAGATTTGATCTCACATCCAGAGAAGACCTTTCGCTGGTGTTCAAAAACACTCCGACCCTGTCTTGTTTGCTTATGACTCAGTTTCCCTATCTAGCATGTCCAAGAGGTCTTGCACTCGGTGCTCATCTATTTGGTACTATTATCTAATGATATAGATGTTTATATGGAAACTAAATGTCAGGAACTCTGTGCCCTTGACAATTTGGGTAAATATGGACAAAATGCTACTTCAATGGCTTGTTGGGATCAGACTGCCCATGACTCCTGCAATTTCTGGTAATGACTTCCTCATGGTCCTCCAAGTCTTTGCTCGTGTGGCTCTGCTTGCTGTAGTCTGGGCTATCCTTGGTGCAAGGTGCAGTGCCTTGATCAGTTTTCCACACGCAAAAAGGTAAAAACCTACACCAAGAATTCTGTGGGTGTGGATCTGTGACCGAATGGTTGAAACGTTGCAGGGAACAGATTCCATTGTGAACCTGGTGGCTTTCCACTATCTGATGGGCTCAGACCCTCTTTTTCCCTCCCTATATCTATCCAAGCCAGATCTGTCCTCTTTCTCATACAGAAACATCTAAACCACAGCTGGATTCCTTGGGGGAGGGCCTCCCCTTCTGCTCTCTAACATTTAAATTAAGTGTATATCCTGTTCCTTTCCAAAGAAGAATTCTAGTAGAGGTTTCTTAAGATGATAATATTTTTCTACCTAGTAAGGTATAGAAATCCCACCTAGATCATAAATTCTTGAAGGTACACCCTGTTTCTTATGCTTTATTTGCACCACGCCCTACCTGATACAATGTAGGGTTACGGGCAATAATAAGTACATGATGAAGGGAGATAAATTAAATCGGGAGCCATAGAACAAAGCTGGGAGGAGGACTGTCATGTATCCTTTGGTTAAGAATGATCAGGGTGCTGAATATAAGAAGGTTTCAGAAGGAATGCAGGGTCACTTTTGAGTGACTCAAAGCAGGATTCAAAGGGAATGAGCGATGACCTACTTAGTGTATGCTTCATAAAATGAAATGGAACCAGGAAGAGAGGGTGTTCTGCGCCCACAGCACCACCTGTGTTCCCATTTTCAAACCACTGTTTCCTGTGACAGAAAACTCCAGCTCTCCCTCTTCTTCCTCGGTCATGTAGTAAGGCCTCTCAGAATGGCAGTCAGCAGTCAGGGAGAGCAATGTTGTTCTGGAACCCATAGGCCCTACTGTTCATTCATGAGGAAATCCAATATGAAAATTCCTAAAGAGGAGGTTGGGGCCCTTTCCCCCCTGGAGCCTCTGAGAAGCAGCCGAGGAGACTGATTGAGAACTCCGACACCATTTATGAAGAGTCCCCACCCTTTGGTCCTCTACCCTATTGGCTGTGGTTTAAACATAAAACCTTGGCAAGTAGCCCTGCCTCCAAGGACATTGCTAGAGGCCTTTTCTTTTTCTTATCTCTGAAAGTCTGCTGCCACAGAAACACAAAGCTTCTCTCTCTCCTCAAGTCCCCAAAACTTATTCTTTAAGGAGACACAGAAGAAAACAAAAAAGACTCTGAGACACAAATATAGCTTGCCCCCAGGAGATCTGAGATGCTTCTGCCATAACGGTCTGAAAATGCCAGATCTCTCTCCTGCCTTTCATGTGGTTCTCTCAGCAAGGCAGTCTGCAAGGCACACAGCTACTTGAAGCAGCCAGCCATCTTCAAAAAATATCTTGGTGTTTGGTGGCTTCCACTCAGAATTGGGGGTGGGGGAAGGATGTTCACAAACCAAGCACTAATTTAAGATCCGAGACCGTCCACGTCAACATTTCTACAGAGGTCACAGCAATGCGAGGCAGAGGCTACTGGTTGCGCCCGCGGTTGTCCCCATTCTTCCGTGGCAGCACGCATCTTGCCCAGTCACATGGCTGTCCAGCTAAGCACTACACACCTCGGCCTCCCCTGCCCTTGTGGCCATTTGACAAGGCCCGTGAGACGTACCAGGTTCCATCCTCCTACCGCTATTGTCAGGCTGACTGGACTGGGAGTACGTGAAAGAGGGACCTGCCTCTGTGCGTGGAACATCTAGATGACTCTGTAGCAATGGGTGCTCCCGTTTGAAGAAATGGCCTTGTTAGAAAGGGGGAGCCCCCAGGGCTCACTGGTTGTGTCACTTGTCTCTTCCTCTGAGCAAACCCAGACTTGCTGAGCCAACTTTCTGCTAATCTACTGAAAAGGGTCCTCTTTTCAAGATGAGCTTCCAGGGGCATTCCCTTTTAGTTGAATTACTTAAGATTTTCTAATATTCATTCTAGCGTAGATATAACTATTTCAGAAGGTGTTCGTGAAGGACAGCAGCAAGTCACACACTGCTGACCCATCAACATGCTCTGCATGACCTCCCCAGAGTACTCTGTAGCACCCTAAGACTTGGACTTTGCAATAAAGATGCTTCATAGCAAGAGACATTTAGATGTTTCTTACTGGAAAATAATGAAGTGACCATCGGAAGAAGGATGAATATATGACTGAGATCCTGGACAAATGTCATTAGAAAAATGGCATGACGAAGAGATCCCTAATAAACCCTCAGACCCCACCACTTTGTCCCAAGGCTGAAATGTCCCTTGTACGAAGTCTTCATTAAACTAATGGTCGCTGCTTTGGCCCAGGCCTGTCATCTCTTGATGGATCACTGCGAACGGGCTCTTCCCCACAGCTGGTTTCTCTTTCTGCTGCCTCTTCCCTGCTCCCACCTATTCTCCATACCACTGAATTTTCTCCCCGAAATGCAAAACTGATCGTGTTTCTCCTCTACCCAAAAAGTGCTTTATTACTTCCCATCCCCTATAGGATGATCTAGGACAAGACCTAGATGCCTCTACATTTCCCCCTGCCTGGAATGTCTTTCTTTTATCTGCTTAGATAATTTGTTTGTTCTTCAAAATCCAGTTTATGTCACACCCTCTGTGATGCTCTCTCTGATTCCCTCAGATACTGTTAATCATTGCTCCCTCTCTGTTATTTCTGTTCTGCCCATCACACTACACAATGTAGGATCAGTTATTTACAGAACATTCTCCTTCCTTCCTTCCTTAAGAGCAAGGATCATGTCTTATTTTGTCTTTGTGTATTCAACAGCCACCACAATGCTGGAAACTAGTAGAACCTCAAAAAAGGTTTCGTCAAACTAAGCACAATATTCCACCCTCAGATGGTTACTTAATCAGCCTTCCCTTCCTTTTTTACCAGAATAATGATGCTTTTGTTCCTGGAGAATGAGCAGTCAGAAGGTCTAGGTTCAGGTACTAATTCTACTGTTTATAATTTGAAGAAACTTGGGGAGGGTACTTAAATGCTATGACCTCCAAGTTCCTCATCTGTACAATGAGGATGATACTAACACGGACCTGGTAAGGTTGTTGTGAGGCTCAAGGGAGATTACATCATTGAAAGTACCCTTCCAATAACAAAGTACTATATGATTTATTATTATTCCTAAACCTCACATTCTAGGTCTCAGTCAGATTGCTGACTTCCCTGGCCTTCCGACTTGCTATGAGATTTACAGTCCATTCCATACAATATGGCCTTCCATTATATCCTGCATCTCATTATTGAGCAAACGTTCCATGTCTCTATCTTTACAACATGTTGCTGGAGAGCAGAGATCGTGTATCATATCCATGCCCAATTTTCTGTGCATAGATGGTCAACAAGTACTTATTGATGGTACAGACCAGTCCCACCATTAGTGGAGTATGGACTGGGGAGTCAGGGCCTGCCACCTGCACTCTCTCACCCAGCTACCCTTGTAGCTTGGAGCCAAGACAGGAAGGGAGAGGAAGAATCACCACTGGGAGGCCTGCACTCTGAGTCTGGCTCCATCATTTCTTATCATTGACAAGTGTGAACTGAGCATATGCCAACCTGGTGATTATGAGCAGAGAGCATTCACTGAACACACACGAGGAGGCTTTTCTCAACTATAGGGAAAATGAAAAGTGTTATGACCAGGGTGAAGGCCATGGCTATGAAAACAGAGCATTTAGTCCAGTGGGGACTGAGCCCATATCATCAATGTACCACACCAGCTCCCATCAGGGCACTCACCCGAAGACTCTGGCCTGCACTTGGACCATGGGTTGAAGGACCATGAGCGGTTGCTGACGGGGTTGCTCACGGTGCAGACGTAGACGTTGTTGACATGCTGAGGGCCGAGGCTGAGGTGCAAGAGGTGAGAACTGTTGGCTGGGATCAGTGGGTCAATCCCCAGTTTCTCACTCCAGCTGTAAACCACATTGTCCCCCTTTTCCACTTCGCAGGCCAGCATCACGCTGCAGTTCCCATTCTCCTGGGTCCAGTTCAACACCTTAATTTCTGGAGTGGAGACCTGCTCTGTCAGGAGGGGGAGGAAGGAAGCCATCACTCAAGTGAACCCCCTGGTATTCTAACTTGATGTTTTTGTTAAAAGAAAATGGAGCCTCATGGTATTTTTCCCTCCCTGTGGGTCTGCAGTGTGTTTTATTTCTGGTGCGGACCTACGTTCCCCAAATCCCTCTCTCTCCAATATATTCCTTTCCAATATGATTTCAGGACAAAATAAGGGAAAAGTGTTTGTCTTTTAGTCTCCTCCTACCTCTACTGTTAAGAATCCACTTGCTTAGGGACCTGGGTGGCCCAGGGGTTAAGTGTCTGCCTTTGGCTCAGGCTGTGATCCTGGGGTCCTGGGATCGAGTTCTGCATCAGGCTCCCTCTGGGGAGCCTGCTTCTCCCTCTGCCTGTGTCTCTGCCTCTCTCTCTCTCTCTCTCTCTCTCTCTCTCTCTCTCTCTATGTTTCCTATGAATAAATAAATAAAATCTTAAAAAAAAAAAAAGAATCCACTTGCCCTTGCTAATGGTCCCAATCTGAGTTGCTCTTCTGTTTTCTACCTGTGACATTTTCTGCCAACTTAATCCTACATGGTTTAATTGTCATTGGCTAAAGTATTATCTTTGGATCTGAAGGAATGACATAGTGGTGGGACACAGTGGTGGAGTGTGTCTCTATGTCTGTATTTGTGTGTGTTTGTGAGGGGGGAATCTCACTCTAATGCTATGAAATAGATAAGGAAAGGGGGTAAGTTGTATTTATTTAGCGACTACTGTAGGATGGGCACGATTCTGGAATTTTACATTTATCATATTCTTTAATCTTCTCAACAACTTTCCCAACAATTATAACCTTAAGTATAAGTATTCCCATTTTACAGATGAGGAAACTGAAACCCAGGGGGGTGGAGTGTCTCATACATTATTACTCAAGTTGAGATCAGAACCTAAGTCTGTCTGATTCTGAAATCTAGCCTCTTTCTTGGACTTGAGAGAGTATCATGGTTGCAGAGACTGTATTTTTCAAGAGTTTATGTGACAAAGGCAGTCGACTGTTCTAGAAAATGCATGATGTGCCATAGGGCCACTATTGGAGCAGTCAGAGCTCTCTCGGGTACCCGGCAGAGGGCTGAGAGGAGCCTGCATACACTATGTGGAAGAAGGGGGAATGATGGGGCTACGGGAAGGGCGGGGAAGGTGTTGCCATCTTCCTGTAGACACCTGAGGATTTCAAAGAAATGCTGGGGAGGTGGAGCTGTCTGTCCCATCTCAGAGATAAGGAAGTCTCTCTATGAGAAAGCAGGACAACCCACGTAGCTGTTGTCAGGATTCCTGGAAATTCAAAGGAGCGTCTAGGCCTAAGAGACACAAACTCTGGGTGCGTTCAAGAGGGGCTGGCCAAAGACGCTCAAGAAAACACTGGCCTTGGATTCAGATAGACCAAGGTCCTAGATTAGGTTCTGCAGCTAAGCGACTTTATAACCAGAGCCTCAGTTTCAATCAGAAACAAGCGCTCTTCCACCAGGTAGATGAGGTCCTATGTCAGAACACAGGGCGTGCAAGTGGCGGACAGGCCGAGCTTCAGCTCTCCTTCCCCTGGGCCCCGAGCGCAGGGAACCACCCATGAGGATGTGTGTAAGCACAAGCCAACCACGCCCTGGATTTCAGTATCCTGGTCTATGGAAAAGAGGTTGAGCTCCATCGATGGTATTCAAATGTTTTAAAAATAGAGAGAGCAAAACCCTTTTTTCAAACCAAGTCTTATTTGCAAACTGAGACTATTGGGGGCGCCAGGCCCTGTAGTCCATAGGCAGCTGGGCTCCTTCTCTTTGGGAAATGGGGGTAAGGGTAACTAGTGCTAGTCAGCTACCGTCGAAGAACAATTTGGACACAAAAGATTTGTGACTCTCTAAAACTTCTTCCCGAAGCACAATTTAAACACCCTGGACTAGATGCTCTTTCAAGCCACTCCCAATCCTAAATACCCTTGCTTCTGAGACTCAGCTAAATCCTTAGGTAAGGGACGATCTCAGCCCCCCAGTGCAGACGGGGAAGCCCCATTATTACCATAGAGCTTCAGCTGCAGACAAAAGTGTTGAACTGAAAAGTTCTCCTCCAGGGTCATGAAGTACCAGCCTTCATTTTCCCTCCTGCTTTCCAGGATCCTCAGGGTCAGGTTTTCCAGATGAAATTTATAGCCATTTTCCAGGTAGCGTGGAGACCCCCCTTCTGGCAGATCCAGAGACACTATTTTCTTCTTGATACTGTTTCCCGGTGATTCTGCCCTTGTGACAAGGATGTGGATGCTCTTGTTCATCCTCTTGCTTATCCCTTCGGATGCCAGGGACAGCTGCAAACTGCTTCCCAACTTCCCAGGGACTTCTGGGCAATTCATCAAGCTCTCACCTGTGGGAGGAAGCAGAAGAAGCCCCTTACTGTAGAGGCCTTTGAGAATCACATCCTGTCTGTGGATCAGGAATGACAGATTGAGGTGCTCCCTCCTCCTCTTGGGCTATCCCTGGAGTTGCCAGATCCTTAGCAGCCTATAAGAACGGTCATGACTGTCCCACCATATTCTCAAAATTTTAAAAATCCCAATGGAAATCTTAAAATTGATTACAACAGAGATGTACAGACTAGGACACCGAGTTTCTTTGATCTGGGAGAGAATTGCATCAACTCAGATTTATAGTTAAGGCACAGAGAAGTTAAGACATGGAGAAGTTAAGTGACATCCCGAAAGTCATATAACTAGTAACTGGACTAGAAGCCAGGTCTGCTCATTCCTTTGCCAGACTTCTCACCACCACCGGGTATGCAGTATGAGGGGCAGAGAGCAACTGAAGCAGACTCTGAGCTCGTGAGCCCAGGAAACCGAGGCCATAGAGCATCATTTCAGATAATGAAGAAAGAGAAAAGTCTGAGGGATGTGGAGCTAGGGAGGTCGGGAGCCCAGTGCTCAAACTGTGGAATTCTTGCTCTCAAGAGGACCATAAGAGGGGCACCTGGGCGGCTCCATGGGTTCAGCATCTGCCCTCAGCTCAGGTCATGATCTCAGGGTCCTGGGATTGAGCCCCGCATCAGGCTTCCTGCTCAGAGCCTGCTTCTCCCTCTCCCTCTGCCTGCTGCTCCCTCTGCTTGTGCATGATCTCTCTCTGTCAAATAAACAAAAAAATATATTTTAAAAAAATACCATAAGATAGTTCCTAGTATTGAGGATGAGAAATTATTTTATGTCTCTTTTTCAAAAGAGCTGAGCCAACAACAACAACCAAAAAAAAAAAAAAAAGAAACCCAAAACCAAACTTTTCAAATCACTGTATCACTGTAGAGGATCCTACTGCTGACTATTTAACACCTCTTTTTTCAAACCCGTGACCTCTGCTGGTGATTCTGCTTCTCATCACACTGAAAAAGTAGAAGAAACGAGAGAACTTCCATTTGAAACTACCTCCGAGAAACCTATCTACCTGGATGGATGATCTATGCTTGTGTTAAGGTTAACATCTTCCATCATGGAAAACTCACCCACCTCAAGCCTTCGCTCTTGCAGTTGCCACCATCCCTTGCACCAGCAGCTTTATTACTGGTATAGACTGTTGTGGGTTATTTCCATCAACATACAACGTACCAACTTGTGACTTCCTTTATCTTACAAACCCCTTCCCTGACCCCCTTCACCCCTAGACGCTGCCTCATTTCTCTCTTTTCCTTTATTGCAAAGTCCTTTAATGTGTGCTTATATTTTCTGTCTACATTTTATGACTCGTTTTCCTGTACTCACTCTTAGCAGACACTCTTCCTTACTATGCCCTGGAACCACTCTTATCAAGGTCACTGTATACGCCATGTTGCCGAGTCCATTCTCCATCCTCGTCTTGCTTTCTCAGGAGCACTTGGCATGGTTTATCAGTCCCTCTTTGAAACGCTGCCTTCATTCAACCCCTGGAATACCACACTCTCCTTGTTTCCTTCCTATTTCTTTGGCTGCTCCTTCTCAGTCTCCTTGACTGGAACCTGCTGTTCTTAAAGACCTCTAAATTTTGGAGCATCCCAGGACTCAGCGCTCAGATCTCTCTCCCAGCCACGCTCATCCAGTTGCATGGGTTGCCATACTTCTGGACTGCTTGCAGAGATACGTCTCCCACCCAAACTGCCTACATGGATCAGCATTTGGAGGTCTAAGGGGCATTGCAAACTTGGCAAATGAACTCTTGGTTCCATAACGTCTTCCACCAACAAGCATCACAACTCCCCCAGATTCTAAGACCAAAACATTTGGAATTATCCTTGACTCCTTTCCTTCTCTCATCCTCCATAGGGAGTCTATCAGCAAATCCTATTGGCTCTACCTTCAGAATAATATGTCTGCAATCCTAGCATTTCAACCTCCCTCATTTCTGCCACCATCGTCACAGCCTGGCATGGCCATTGGCTTTCAACTAATCTCCCAGCATCCATATAGTAGACAGAGTCATGTTTTAAACCCATGTCAGATTTTGTCTGTCTCCTGCTTTGAAACTTCCAGGGCTTTCTAGCACCCATAGAAAAAATATCCATAGGCTTTGTTATGGCTTCGAAGATTCTGACCCCTCTCCTGCCCTCTCTCCACTCACTGCACTATGGTGGTGGTACTGGCTCACACACCTCTTCAAGAACATTCCCAACTCAGAGATTTTGCTTTTGCTGTTCTCTGGATATATCTTTCCTTGTATATCTGGATAGCTTACTCCCTCACTTTATTTTAGGTTTCTGCTCAAAAAAATCATCTCTTCTGAGAAACCTACCCTGACCATCCTATATAGAATAGCCCCCCTTCTGACTGAACACTTACCACTGTCTGTGACACATTGTATGTTTTTATTTTATTTATGTGTCCCTGGCTGCCATGCAAACTCTTCAAGAGGAAGAATTTCATTTTGTTCATTGTTTTGTCTCTAAGTCTTATGACAATAGCTGGTATACGGTAGGCTGTTAATAAATATCTGTTCAAAATATGAGTGCTGAAAGCTACATCACCTGATTAAAACCTCTTTTATTCAGCTTTGCCCAATATGTAACTGAACTTAACCTTAAGCTAGTTCTCATAAAAGGAGCCCATGACTCAGAGAGCATAGATTGGTTTAGTTGATAAGGAAGCCAGAGAAGTAAAACAAAACTGTCTGCTTAGGTAAAGCAGCCATCTAATTAGGACACAATTGACTTGTGGCTCAGACGGGTTGTTAGAGAATTGGACAAACTGGTCCAGATGTTATTGGTAACAAAATGCCCTGAAATCCCAACACTGTCCCTTAAAGTGGCCAGGTAGTATCAGGCTAGACATCCAGAGATTGGGAGAAAACAATAGGCAGTCCACCTGGGCTGAAATTAGGGTGAGATTGGTGGAGACTCAAAACGATAAAGGAAAAGTGAGGGGAAAGAAGGATATAAGATGGGATAGGAAGAAGCCCTCCCCTACCCCCAAACCAAAGAAATCAAAGAAAGAAAATAGGAAGGGAAAGAAACTAGAAAAAGAAGGAGCAGATGAGAGGGCAGGCTGAGTGGCGTGGCCACACAGGGAGTGGAATCAAAACTCGGTCAGGAAGAGACCCTCATGCCCTGCAACCCACATGAAGAATGGTGATCTCACAACTGAGTGTGTGTGAGTGGCTGGGTCTGGGGCGGGGGTACTAGAAACCAGCACCACCTAAGTGCAAATGGAAAAACAAGTGGGGACTTTAAAGTGGTTCACAGAAGCCTTCAAGTGGAATCCCCACTCCTGAAACATTCTACTGCCTGATGCGAGTTTTCCAGTGAGCCTGTGATTCAGTCCCCCCTGTTTACTCAAAAGTCTGGAGGAAACATTTGCAGCCATTCACACCAACTCACTTTCTTCAAGGGTAATTCTACTTAGAAAGTAGAGTGATTCACATGGACCCATGGATATTTTCCTGAACTTGACCGCATTTGGCCAACCCTTCACAAGATGGGATTCTACATAACAATAACCTCCACCCCCCTTTGTTGTGCTTCTGGCATCTTGTCACAGCATTGCTTTCAGGGAGTGGGGGGGGGGGGGGACAAGACTCAATAGGCCTCACACTTCTTTCAGAATATCTAGGCCCAGGAAGAAAATTTGCTTTTTAACCTGCAGTCCCACGAACCATCCTCTTTCCTCCCATTCCTTGATGCTGTTGGGTCTTTCTGACTCAGAATACTTGCATTTCCACGTTCTGCACGCCTGTTACCGCCCTGTTTCCCTGACTCCTCTCCGTTGGGTCTCTGCCTCTGACCCCTAGCTTTGTCTGGGCCTCCCTGCCAGTGCCTCTAGCGCCTTTATATGTCCCCTTCATATCACTCATCACGCTTTTACCTCTGATTCTATGCCTGTCACCCTCACTCCAGAATAAGCTTCTAAGAGTAGTGGCTCTCTTTTGCCCACGTATAGTCCTAACACCTACCTGGGACATAGTAGAAACTCAGTAGACCCTTGCTGCTTAAGAGAATGAAAAATAGAATGAGTGAGCAATGGACAGCACAGTCTAAGATCCCCTCTCTCCAAAATCAGAATGTACTCTGTTTCATCTTTATAACTTCCCTAAGAAGTACAGTGTGGGAGAAAATGACGGGGACCCTGCTCCCCGCTTGCCAGGTGAGGAGATGGAAAAGCATTGGCTATGGACCCTAGGCTTCAAGCTTCAGCAGGCCACTTGCCAACCCCCTGAACACTCGCAACAGCTCACCTCTGCGTTGATGCCTTCATCTGGAATATTCCCCTAAGGCCCTATAAAAATCTAATGTATATATTTGGGAAGACACACAAGGAACTGAAGGTAGCAGTTGCCTCCAGCAGGAGGGACGGTAGGGGGATTTGTCTCCATTGCGTATATCCTTTTGTACTTTTTGAGTTTTATAGACATATGTATGATATTCTTTGAAAAAAATAGTTAACAAAAAAATTAAATGAAAACTCATGGGATGAAACTTCCTACCCACTTTCCAAATTCCAGATCGAATACTTCCATATACCCTCTGCTTCCTTCTATAATTTTATCAACTTATTTCCCCTTTTGGATATCCCTATACTTTATTTCAATTCGATTAAAATAAACTTACATGCTCCAATTACAAATAGCATAGTCTAATTTTTACCATGGGACCTGGATACAAATTTTAACATACCTCCACCCCCACCAAACATAAGTTTATCCAGTTTCATTTATTGAGGCCTCTGAAGTCAGGCTGCTGTGTGATTACAGAGAGAAACTACTCTGTGCTTCTCATTCCTCCTCTTATCACATGGTAATAATAATAATACGTAGCTCGTAGAGTTGGTGTGAGAATTAAATGAATAATATACACAGCACTTAGAGCAGCTCCTGCTGCATAGCAAGTAAGCTGTACATACTGTTATTATTCACTCAACAATCATTTGTGGAGGGGCTCTCAGGTACCAGATACTGTGCCAGGTGCTGGGCAGGGGCTGTGGTTGTTAATTTTGCTTCCCCCACACCTTGCACAATGCTTGTCACATCACATGTCTTTAATAGAGAGTTGCTCAGTGGGGTTGTCCAAAGTCAATCTATGGATAAAATCAACCAGCCCTGATGTTCTGATTTCCAGTCTGGTACTGGAGATGTGATGGTGATGGCATTACAACCCAGTCTTAAAGCTTTTGAGCAATAGAAATGCTTAGACCTATGTCTTGAGGTAGAATGGGCCAATGAACAAAGGGGCCAAGTCTGGAACCCACACACTTGTCTTTCATGTGTGTCAAGGAGGTGAGGCGGACCAGCAGGAGGAAAACAAAATCCCCTTGGGGCAAATCACCAGTTTTAAGAGATGCGTCCCCCTTCGTGGAGGATGCTATGCAAGTGTGGGAGTAGGGGGAAATCTTGGTACCTTCTGCTCACTCTTGTTGTGAACCCAAAATTGCCCCCAAAATAAAGATTATTTTTAAAAATAAATACCATTAAGGGAATGAAAATTTCGCCTTATTGGGGAGAGGGACATGTGGACTTTTGATCTTAAAATTCTGACGGAATTAATTGGAAGGCAAGCTGATACAGATGGGAAGGAGAGTGGGTCCTGATTTGACATGAATCGAGTTTCTTGGCTGAGTAACTGTCACGGTTGACCTGTCCCCCTAGCAAAGCATTTCCCTCTGTGTTTAATCGGAATTTCACAAATGGGTGTATATTTAAAAATAAAAACACTAAAAATTTTGCACATGTTTCAGAGAAAACAGAAGGCAAGGAAGCCGGCCACTGCTGGTTGGGTAGACACGCCCACGGGGTTGGGCTGCTTTTCACTAATTGGGGACCCCAAGCCTACATGGAGCGGTTGCCCCCACCGGGGCCATGGCGACACCCTGGGCCAGGCTGCCCAGCGGACAAGCAAGGACACAGATTTAAAACGTCCAGCCCACTGTCCAACCCCATCACTCCCAAAAGTCACTAAGAACTATGCCCGAATGGTAAAGTCACAAGTGGGGTGCACCTGGCAAGGCTTGGCTCTCTCTGGGGTGGCTTCAAGAGGTTCTATTCGGCTTTCTTTCTTTTTTTTTTTTTTTAAGATTTTATATATTCATGAGAGACAGAGAGAGAGAGAGAGAGAGAGAGAGAGAGAGGCAGAGACACAGGCAGAGGGAGAAGCAGGCTCCATGCAGGGAGCCCGATGCGGGACTCGATCCAGGGTCTCCAGGGTCACCTCCTGGGCTGCAGGCGGCGCTAAACCGCTGGGCCCCCAGGGCTGCCCCCATTCGGCTTTCTGAGCCCCCAGCTCAATCATCCCTTCCCGGAGACCTCAGAAAGCAAGAGCTATGGGTCTGCCTGGTTCTGAGGGAAACACCAGTCAAGGAAGGGCATCTTTATCTGGGAGTCTAGCAGAAGATAGATCCCGTGTGCAGCCTCTCCAGCATCCCTAGTGCGTCTCTGGGCTTTTCCTGGAAAAGTCTTTAATGGATCTGCGGTCTTGAAAACCCCAAGTGCAAAACACCCAGAGCCTCAGGATTTCCCCCCTTCCCTAAGGCCGCTTCCACCCCAGGCTGCCTCCCCTAGTCTACGCAGCCTCCGGGCACTGCAACACTCCTCAGCGAGCCCACTTGAGTGGATGGAGAAGCCATCCACCTCTTGCACGGCTTTTTCTGTCTCGAACACCTTTCCCACAGCCCTGATACTACTCACGGAGAACTGCAGCTCATCTTTGGAAGGGCACAAGCCAGAAGGACAAGAGCCGAGCGCAGCCCCAAATGCTGTGTGGCGTGTCTGGTGCCCCACTGGAGCTGCCTTGACCACTGACAGTTCCCAATTTGCATTTCCCACTTACTGTAACCAGCCCTGGACACCCGAAACCCCGGCCCTCCCCCTCTTGCTGTCTTGAGAGGTTCTCTTCCAGGAAAGCAGCCACCAGTTGACCACATAGTGGCCACCGGCTGTTCTCAGCTGATGCTTAAGGTTTTCACTTCTACGCTCTCTTCCCACTACAGCCCTTCCTTGTGTTGGACGGTGGCTCTGCTTTGTCCGCGGTGAGAGCATCCCCGTCAAGGGCAGGGATGGGGGAATCACCTTCTCCCCAGGCTCCGGCCCAGGTTCCAGCGCCTTAGCCGGGTCTTTGCAGATGCAAACCCCACCGCTCACCCCGAGCCTTAGCCAGGACCTCCTGCCCGGAGGCTGGTCTGGGATGTGACGGTCCCTGTGACTTGGGGCGCCCGGGTTCCTCGGAAACCAGGGCTGATGGGGCTGAGCCCTGGAGCCCAGGACCCAGCTCTGATCCCTCGTCTCTGAAAGAGCCAGGAGGAAGGCAGCGCCAAGCCCCGAGGCGAGGCAGTGCAATCCAGCCCTGCAGTTTGTCTGCACCCGTGGGTGCCCCTGGCTCCTGGCCGGACGGCAGCACCCGCCTCCTCAAGCAGATGAGCACCTACCTGTCCCGCAGCTCAGCTTGGACGCCAGGGTGAGGACCAGCAGGCAGCGCAGGGAGAGGAAGCCCCTGGAATCCATCAGCCAGGGAGACAGGGAAGGGGCCGGCGGAGGGCGAGACCCGGGTCGCTCAAGGGCGCCTCTTGCCTGCTGTGCAGCAGGAACCAGATGGCTTCCTGTGTCGCTGGGACTTTTTCTGCCTGAGTCTCACGGATTGCTCATCAGCTCTTAGCCTTTAAATCACTTGGCTGTTCCCGAGAAGTCCGAGTCAAATGTTCACCCTGCTAAGGCCGGGAAAGGAGTGAGCAGCAGGCGCCTCCTCGCAGGCCGGGGGGTGGGGGCCGCTCCCCCCACTCCCCCCACTCCCCCCACTCGGGCCGACTTGGATGACCGAGCTCTAAAGACTTCTTCTGTCTCGTGTCTGATCTGTCCCGTAACTCGGGAGACACCTCCACATGCGGTTGGGCCCTGATGCCCAAGCCACAGAAACAGGGGTGGGGCGGGGGGGGGGCGCAGAAGCCCAGTTTCCCAGCTGGGCCCCTCACCCTAGGATTCTGTGAGCTCTGAGCTGTGCGCCAAGAGGGCGCCTCTATTTGTGGGGGGAAGGGGCTAGAACTGGGAAGAAAGACCTGCACTTTTCCATGAGTTAAGCTGACAAAATGAAACACTGGAGGGGTGCCCAGGGGGGCTCAGCGGTGGAGCATCTGCCTTGGGCCCAGGGTGTGACCCCGCGGTCCCAGGAGCAAGTCCCGAATTGGGCTCCCTGCAGGGAGCCTGCTTCTCCCTCTGCCTGTGTCTCTGCCTCTCTCCTTGTGCTCTCATGGCAAATAAATAAAATTTAAAAACTAAACAAAACACAAAACACTGGAAAGATGCTCTTACCTGTGTTCAGGAAGATACTTTGAAAGGCCAGTCTCTTTTTATTACTTTTATTTTTTAAGATTTTTCAAAGATCTTAATCAGGGAGCCCAATGCGAGACTGGATCCCAGGACCCAGGATCATGCCCTGAGCTGAAGGCAGACGCTCAGCCACTGAGCCACCCAGGCATCCCTCATCTCTTGTTTTTAAAGTCCATTTTATTTTATTTTTTTAATTTAATTTTTTATTGGAGTTCAATTTGCCAACATATAGCATAACAGCCAGTGCTCATCCCGTGTCGAGTGCCCTCCTCAGTGCCATTTTAACAGATCAGAGGAATTCTCCAGTGGGTCTCCCTGAGAAAATTAGCGTAACAAGAGCTCGTGATATGTGTGAACTTGCTCTTTATCCTCACTGTTTTTCTCCCTCCCTCATGTGACACCCAAGCATCTTCCCCACAATACTACCTGGTAAGTGTGCGGGAGCCAGCGTGTACCAACTTGTGAGAACCAAGTGTTAAAAGTTTTCAGGAATCTTGCAAGCTTGACGGTTGATAAACATTACCTTTATTAAAAATTCAAATTATATGAACTTACAATTAAATTATATTAAAACTAAGGGAGTAAAAACTTGAAAATCATTACTTCCTAATTAGTTCACAACATTTTACTATTATCTATGCTCTTGAGGACATTTCCATCTATTGTATCTCTGTGGTGGAAATGAAATACTAGATATCATATGGGCTGCGGCACTGCTCATCCAACCCTGCATTCAATGACACCACGTTGGTAGCTTGAAATCAGCCAGGGTGGGAGCATATATATATATATACCTTGGAAATTGGTAAATGATGGAATCAGAGCTTTGGCTTAATGTTTTGTGGATTTTCTGGATGTAACAAAGTGATAAAGAAAAGGGAATGATTAAACTTAAAAGTGTACAAAGTTACAGTCATGACTGTAACCTTGATATGAATAGCATACAAAATATGAGGAAGTAGTATTCCAGTATTCGGTGAAAAGTCATTGTCACTGATGAGCAAATGAGGTTGCAATATGATTCTTTGACATTGTACACTTCTTTAACTTAAAAAAAACTGGCTATAAATAAGAATAGAGTGAAATATGTAAGGAGTTGAGAGAAAGGAAAAAGGAAACACCCCACTAACCTAGAATTCTGAATCCTGAGAAATTGAGAAATTATCTTTCAAAAGTGAAAGGGATATAAAAACTTTCTTGGACAAACAAAAGTTGAGGGAATGTGTTGCCAGTAGTTCTGGCTTCCAAGAAATGTTCAAAAAGGTCTTTAGTAAAAAAAAAAAATAATAATAATATAGGTCAGAAACTCAGATCTATGTAAGGAAAGGAAAAGAATCAGAAAAGGAATAAGCAAAGATAAAATGAAAACTTACCTTTTTAAAATTCTTAATTGATTTAACAAATAACGCATTGTTCAAAATAATAATAGCAACAACGTATTCAATTATGTGTGCTTATGTATAGTTCATATATATAGATGCTTCTTATGTGTATATATGTATATACATGTTTCTGAATGCTTACATATAAGTGAAATAAATAGACAATGATACAAGGGATAAGAGAGAGGATTTAGGATTATTTTGTTATACAAGGTACTCACACTACCCATGAAGCAGTATAGTGTTATTTGAAAATGTGCTTGGATTAGTTATAAATGTATATTGCAAAATCTAGAGCAACCACTAAATATATATATATATATATTTTTTTAACTTATGATAGTCACAGAGAGAGAGAGAGGCAGAGACACAGGCGGAGGGAGAAGCAGGCTCCATGCACCGGGAGCCTGATGTGGGATTCGATCCCAGGTCTCCAGGATCGCGCCCTGGGCCAAAGGCAGGCGCCAAACCGCTGCGCCACCCAGGGATCCCCACTAAAAATATATAATGTACACAATAAGAAAGAAAATAAAATGCTCAATTAACCACAAAAGGCAGAAAATGAGTGAAAGGCAATAATAGCAACAAAGAACAAGGGCAACAAATAGAAAACAGTAACAAATATGGCAAATATTATTCTAACAATATCAAGAATCATTTTGAATGTCAATGGTCTCAATGAACCCATTAAAAGTGATTGTCAGAGTGGCTCAAAAAAAGTGAGACCAGATTGGCTTCTGGTAGACAGCAGGACAAATAGATGAATCCACTATCATAACTGGAGACTTCAAAACCCCTCCATCAGAAATAGACCTATTAGACAAAAAATCAGTAAGAACACCATTGAATTCAACACCACCACCAAATAATCAGATATAACTGACACCTACAGACTACTTCACCCAGTAACAGCGGAATACACTTTCTTCTCAAGCTCACATGGAATGTTCACCAAGATAACCCACCTTCTGGGCCATAACACACACCTTAACAAATTTAGAAGAATAGAAATCATACGTTGTCTGCTCTCAGACCACAGAGGGCTTAAACTAGAAATCCATAACAACGACAAAAAAAACAACAAGAAAATCCCAAAACATGTGGAAATTAAACAATACACTTGTAAAAAAAAAAAAAGAAAGAAAAGAAAAAGAAAAAACAAAACACACGTGTTATGAAGGAGGCAGAGCTGGTGGTGATGGAAGACAGGAACTAGACCAAACTTGGAAACCCTGGCTCCAGGTCAAAACCTCTTTCTCTTTCCCTGGAGTGTACTCATTATCCCCATGAATACACAAGAAGGTAAGGATGAAGGAAATCCTGCTGATTGAACTCCCTGGATACCTGGGGCTTCCACATGGATCATTTCATTAATTTTTTGTAACAGGAGAAAGCAAGTATAATTATCACTATTTTACAGCTTGGGGTACAGAGCTGCTAAATAACTTGTCTAATGGCTCAGAGTCCAAAATGGAAGAATTGGATTCAAGTCCTGTAATACCCAACTCCAGGGTCTGGGCTCTATCCACTCACCATACCACTTCCATTATCCTGGGCGAGAACCTTAACCAATCATTGGTCAATTGCCTGTCATCCATGGGACATTCCCTCCGGCACAGGTGAAGGTATGGGCAACAGGAGAATCCTGAGGGAGCAGCATTTCCTGCCCCTTACTTCCCTCACTTGTGACAAAGCAGCACTTCCTTCCCTTTGGCTGCACGGAACCCACTCTGAGACTGGGGAGGACCGCATGTCTATGGAAAGGAGCCCTCCCCAAACAGTCTCAGATGGGATGCACAATGAGGTTGTCTCCTACTCCTAAACAGGGGGTTGTAACATCCCCCTACTCTCTCTCCTGACACTTTATGGCTACCGTGGCAAAACGATCTGCCTGAAGGTGCCTGCGGCTGGGTGCCCTGAGCATCCTGGCTTCCCAGCTGAATACTGTGCTCATCACGGCCTCAAACAAGAGAGGTCCGTATAAGATGAGCCAGCACCACAGGGAAGGATCACTTAGGGACAGACCAGATGACATGGCTGCTTGAAACCCGATAAGCACATCCATGGGAATAAGTAAAATAACAAAACAAGACAACACAACAACAACAACAACAACAACAAAAAACAACAAAAACCCCACAAAAACAGAATGAAAATACAAAATTTCCCCAAAGTCTGAAACATCTCCTAGGAGACCTCATTGCAGAGTCTAAAATCAGCCTGGGGAAATCACTGGAAAAAACACCCTGGCTCAGCCGTGCTGGGTGAGATGAGGAACCCACAGGACAGGTGTCTGATACAGAGACTGAGCAGACCAGTCGAGCAGACAGCCCTTCAGTGGGTTGGGGCTGTAGGGGCTGCGGGGCAAGGGGGAAGAAACCAGGCCATGAGGTGGCTCTGTCCCAGACCGAGGCCCAGACCGAGGCCCAGGTGTTACCCACCATCTTTAGCTTCGGGGTTCACACCGGTAGCCACCTCCTGAGCAAATAGATGTGCTAAGTGACCCAGGCTCAGAAAGGGGAGCTGAGGACGTGGCCCAGTGTGGCCTGTGAAGATGCCCCTGGCAGTGACTTCTGGCCTTTACCTGGTCTGTGATGCTGAGATTGCTCATGTCAAGGTCTTCCGCAGGTTTCCCCACATCAGCTCCTTCTCCAGGGCTCAGGTCTGGGTCAGAACACTAAAATCCTGAGGTTGAGGAGAGATATCCATGGGTATCTGTAATCTGAGCATTATCTCCCCAAACTCTTGTCCCTTACACTGACGCTCCTGCCCTCTTTCCAGACCCCAGAGCCAGTATGT